AGATTTACATGATATATTTTCATCCTATCTATAAAAGATAAGGAAGTCAATATTTATTTATTGCCTTTCAACACTTTCCCTCTTTCCTTTTGTAATGTCACTAACTCCTTATTACTATTTGTGGGTTGTATAATTTCTAAATTGTACAGATTTTTAAAATGAGAATTCTATTTCAGGTACTATATGCTGTTTACAAAAAGCTCACTCAAAGCAATGTGACTCAGAAAGATGGAAAATAAACCAGTCTGACTAGAGCACAGTTTTGCAGCTGTTCTTGTCTTGGTCCTGATTACTGCTGGCACTTTGGTCATGGTTGATCCATTCATCTTTTAGTTGGCAAGTTATTCCCTGAGTGGGCTCTAGAAGCACTAATGGAAACCATATTATTGCATGCTTACACGTTTTTCTGCTACTGTTACACTTGGGTCAAGTTTACTTAGGTATAACATTTTGGGATCAAACTTTCTTTCTTTAAGGTTTTTTTTTTAGATGCCACTCAAATGTCTTCCACCCTTGACTGTTATTCTGGGGAGATTTGAGCCATGATGGAATTGTTTCTACATATAGGTGAAAAATATTTTTGCTTATGGACCATAAGGATTATTTCTTTAAAAAAAAAACTTTTATTATGAAAAATCTAAAACACAACTTAATGATTATTTCTTTACCTTTGAAGCCCAGTGACATTACTAGGTTATGTTTCAATAGTGGTTGTTCTGCCTTAGCCTTTTTTGGGGACATGGATGTTCTTTTCCTCTATAGATTCACGTTACATTGATTAAGTCTCTGAATGTTTTTCTTTTCTATTTGTTTAGTTCTCTTACTTAGGGAAAACAAATATTCGTATGTTGTTTCTCTTTTGTTTCTCTTCCATGTCTGTTTTTTCCTTAAAACTTTCTTCAATTTTTTGTTTGGCCTGCTTTTTTCATTCCTGTCCTCCATGTCCCTTAATGGACTTTCATCAAGAACATTTCTCCTTTATGCTGCTTCCAGAAGGATCTTCATTTATGCAATGGTCTTGTTTCTTTTTTAAATATCTGCCCTATGTTCTGCTAGCTCTTATTTCCCTGAGACCTTGTGCTTGATTATTTCAGGAATTTTTTTTTCTGTTAATAGCAATATGTTTGGCTGTCACTTAGAAGCATGATTTTTCTGAGTGTTGCCTGTTTGTTGTTTTAAGCGTTTTTTGTTTGTTTGTGTTTTTATTGCTTTTGCTGGTGGGGGTGATACTCCCTCTCCTTTCTCCTGCTCATTTTTTCTTTTTCTCTTCTTCTTCTTCTTCATCATCATGTTCTTTCCCTCCATCTTCATTTCCTTTTTCTTGTCCGCCTCCTTCTTCTATTCCGTCTCCTCTTCATTCTCTTCCTTATCTTCCCTCTTTCTCCTATTCCTTCTCCTCTCCCACTTCTGCTTTATTATTATTATTATTTGCCATCTTTGAGTTAAATGCATTGTTTTGGGGCCAATTATTTGCAGATTTGTACAAGGGAGAAATCAGAGGAATAGTATTTAAGCAATCTAGACTTGTCCTTGGTGTATTACAAGGCTCCTAGGAAGAGAGAGAGAGAGAGAGAGAGAGAGAGAGAGTGTGTGTGTGTGTGTGTGTGTGTGTATCTCTATTCTTCACTCAACCTCTTGACATTTTGCCTCACCCCTCTCTTATAGTCATAGCACTTGGCAGCCCTTTTCAGTACAGTTTTGATTTGAGATTACTGATTTTTCATAGTCTTTGATTTTGCATTTCTGTTCCTCATTTTTCTTATTTCTAAAGTAATAATTTCTGAGAGGAAAGGATTAAAACTTTGCTATGCTGTTTTAAATTTCAAATCATAATACTATTTCCATGCCTTATATTTGTTCTTCTTCCCCTGGTAAAGAAGAATGTACACTGTTGTGTTTTGTTTTCAGCTTGATTCTCCTGTTGTCTCCACAAACATCTTTTTTCTTCACTCCACCTGAAAAGACTCACTTTGAGAAATTACCTAAACGTCTTTGGTAGCTCTTGCATTGAGGATGCCATCTTTCCTGTGAACTTCCCGTACAGAAAGGACTCTTGTTTCCCTTGACCTATCTCCTGCCTATTTGCAGATGCTATAACAAACAGACTCCTAAATGTATAATAGCACATATCAATGGAAGTTTATTGCTCAGGACAAGTGTTTCTTGACTGTCAGGGATTCTATGATAAGTAGTCATTTTAGACCATACTGTATCATCCACATGACTTCCAAGGTGCTTTTCTACATCCAGCCAGCAAAATAGGGAAGGGTATAGAGAAGTAGGCATAGAAGATTTTATAGGCCTGAACTGTGGTGGAAATACTTTCCTTCTTCTCTTGTTCTAGCACTACAGGTAGTGATTCTATAAAACACAGTCTAGCTCTGTGGCCAAGAAATAGAGGAGGAGAAGACTGGAGATTTGGTGAACAGCTTTTAGTTTAATTTCTCTTCGCTTATCTGTCATAAATGTCTAATGACCATAAAAACTTTAACGTTCCTAACCAAATTAGTCCTATCATTCATTAAGCAAATATTCATTATCTTCCTTCTGTATACTGACTACATGACTTCTACAGTTGTAATTATCTGAATTCCTACCACAGATTTCTGAGCTTTCCTGAAAAAAAGTTAGTAAAAAAAAGTCCTTTGTGACAACTGAGACTGCCCTTTTTTGAGAATGTTGATTTCTTCAATAAAGAGGAAAGTGTATGAATAATTCCACAAGGGTCAGTAGCTATATAATCATGCGATATTGTGTTGTCAGTCAAGTTTGGAATTACCAATAGAAGTTCATTCCTCTACATTACTTTCAGCACATTGTTTTTTCAATTTATAAGTGTATCTGTTCTCTGAAGGGAGGATATCTTCAATGATCCATGCTTTAAAATAGGCTTTTAACAGTTGAGTCTATGAGTAGACTCAGTTAAATTAAAACACACACACACCTAAATTATGTGTAGATTTGGGTATGGGAAAATGCTTGAAATTAGAAGTTGTTTAATTTCAGGCAGTTTTTCATTAATGAAATTCAAATTGATGTTTTCAGTTTAATAATCAAGCAGAGAGTGTTCACGATGCCCCCGCTCAGTTAAAATGTACCAACAAAATACTTTGTATCCCTGCTACATAAGGAATAAAAGAGTTTTATTTGTTTTAGCTGAAGTGTCCCACTAAACTATAGGCACTACTAGAATTTATGTTACAAGAATTTATGTTACAAATACATTTCCTTCTTTTCCTACTGCCTGAGAAGAAATTGCATAGGAGGAAATCATTTTTATCAAGCCACTTGAGAAAGAGTACAGTCTTCAGCAGGGTGTACTGGGAACAGAGAAGCTATTGTGTCCCATGGGGTATCTACACAGGAAAAGGGTGCAGAAGGGAACTGAGCCACTTCAGGACTGTTCCTGAGACCCTTGGATGTCCCCAGCTCCCATTGTGACCCCACTGTTCAGCTTCCTCAGACGCCCATTCCTTTTCCGTCCTTTCAGTTGAAGTTCAATGTGCATGTGAGCTAGCATCCTTTCTCTTTGGTAGCATGCCTTAGAAAGAAGAAGCATTCAGTTTTTGAACTAGGTCTGGTTGTGGTTTTTATTACTTTTTATTTACTTTTAATTTATTTGTGACATTTATTACAATCAGAGTGTATTAACATAATAAATTCACTAAATGTTCCTAAAACCTTGACCTTAAATATTATAGCTACCTATTTAGAAGCAATAGTTATTTTTATTTATTTAGATACCTATATATATTTCTCATTTCATCCTCATTATAACCTAAGGTAGGGGATATTATTACACTTTTAACAAGTAATAAAACTGAAATGTAAGCCGGGCTTGGTGGCTCAGCCTGTAATCCCGCGCCTTGGGAAGCTGAGGTGAGTGGATTGCCTGAGCCCGCGGGTTCGAGACCCACCTGGGCAACTTGGTGAGACCTCATCTCTACAATAAATCAAAAATTAGCTGGGTGTGGTAGCGCGCGTCTGTAGTTCCAGCTACTGGGAAGGCTGAGGCGGAAGGATCGCCAGAGCCCAGCAGGTCGAGGCTGTGGTGGCCGGGAGTGGCCTCTGCACTCCAGTCTGGGTGACGGAGTGAGACTCCAACTCAAAAAACAAAACAAAACAAAACAAAACCCCAAAAACTGAAATGTGAGGAAGGAAAATAACCTTCTTGTGACTGATCACACATCTAGTAGGAGAAAAGCAGGTTTCAAGCACAAGTAGCCATTATCCTGAGCCAGTAAAATGGATTAGCACAGCTTCACTACTATAAGAAGGGTGACATATTTTTTCCTTTCCTCCAGGTGTATGACTAAGCTTATGGTTCAAGTTTTAAAAAATTATCTCCATCATTATTTAGACTTTCCATAGCACTTGCTAATTATAGTGATGCTTTCTGGTGAGATTAAGAATATATTAGTCAGTCACTCTTGTTTTATTTTTGTCTTACTTGATAGATACAGCTATTATTTACTCTGATTCTTTTTGGTTCACTTTTCATTATAGACTGACCCTTGAGGTTAAGGATCCAGAAGCACTTACTCTAGTTGAAAGTAGCTGTAGATGGTACTAGGAGAGTAAATCTGAATCACTTCAGTTTGAATTTTAGTTTAGTTTTGTGAACACTGCCCACAGCAGGGAGGGGTTCACTGGCTAGAGAAAGGTCACAGGCTGACACAGGGTGACTTGAGAAAACACAGGGATTCTGACTGCAGTCTTGGCTCCAGGCCACAATACACATTGCTTGTTGCCTTTTTATGGGGGACCTATTATTGCCTAATGAGGCTTTCTTTACAACAGCAGTTGGATGGAATGATTGGACTCCAGAGGGCTTCAGCCTCTTGGTGTCTTTTATATAGAGGAGAGGTCTCTATAAAGATTTATTACTTAATGTAATTGTAATAATTATAATACAGACCAACCTGAAGTTGCTAAATAAAAATCTGAGTGGCTCAGCTTACTACTGTTCCTTAATTTACTATAATCTCCTATTTTTCTAGGGTGACAGAGAAGCAGAGCTTGGGCTGCCTTTTTCTCCTCTGTGTGACCGAAAGTCCACTATGGTTGCTCAGTCGCAAGTAGGTACGTGTCTGCCAGTTCTTTGGGTAGAAGAAAACACCGGAGTGGAAAGCCCTTAGAAGTAAGTTCAGATGCTCCCTGTAATTATTTGGCTGGGAACCTGGCTCCATTCTGTGCTCATGACTTGTCCTGACTGGGTAGATGAAGTTACTGTCTCTTTTCTTTTTCCTGGAATGCAGCTCATTCATGGGAGGATTAGACAGTGACACTCTTGGCATCTCTGTTATTCCCTGCCAAAAGAAAGAGTCCTCAACTTTCCAAGGAGATGGCAAGTGTCATTGGCAGGAAGCCTGTCCTATTTCACCTCCCCATTCTGCACCCAATACTGGAAGTTGTTGTGACATTTCTTCTCACTGACAATTCTTCTAGCCATGTTTTCAGGGTAGTTCCATTTCTTGGATGATTTATTTCTAGGAATGACTCTTTTAAAATGTTTCCTTTCTCCCTTCCTTCTTTTCTTTCTTCCTTTCTCCCTTCTTCCTTTCCTTTCACCCTTCCTTCCTTCCTTTCTTCCATTCTAGCACTTTTTTTGGTAAGGATAACTTTCACACTGCAAATAATCATAATGTGTGCATTACAGAAATCCTCAACTATGGGAGATGGTACCAGTGCTCTGTATAAATTAAATGTCACCACTGATCCCCACCTTTGAAGAGCCTGAAATCATTCAAAAAGTGAATTTGATAAGGATGTATTGATTTTTCTTCTTGTGTTTTGAGTGCTTATTAATTTTTTTAAAAATATACACAGAATCCCTATTAACTGTTGGGTACTGGAAGGCACTGTGATAGGTGTTATAAAAACAAAGACATGGCCAGGTGTGGTGACTCACGCCTATAATCCCAGCACTTTGGGAGTTCAAGGCAGAAGGTTTGCTTGAGCCCAGTACTTTGAGACCAGCCAGGACAACACAGCCAAGACCTCTTCTCTAAAAACAAATACCAACAAATTAGCTGAGCGTGGTGACATGTGCCTGTAGTCCCAGCTACTCAGAAGGCTAAGGAGGAAGGATGGTCTAAGCTCAGGAAGTTGAAGCTGTGGTGAGCGTGACCATACCATTGCACTCCAGCCTAGACAACAGAGACCTTGACTCAAAAAATAATAAATAAATAATTTTAAAAAAAGACAAATTATACATGTTACCTCCTGTCAAAGACATCAAACCAGTGCTGAGTGGTGGGCAAAATATTATAAAAATAAAAATCTATTTGGATATTATAATGCTAAGGTTGAATTTTGTGTGAAGTACAATGGGATAAGAGAACACAATGTGTGAACCATTAGACTTATTGAGGGATAATATATGAGTTGAGTCCTAATATATGAGTTGAGTGAGTAGGAATTGAGTGGGCAATTGGTGATATGTGTTAGAGGTGAATTAGGAATAGATAGAATGACATTCCAGGCATGGGATATAATCTGTGCAAAGCAGGGAAACTTAAAACTGTCTAGTATGGTCAGCAAATTCTAAACAGTTCCATATGGCAAGAGCAGTGGGTAGGAGAAGGATGCAGTGAGGGACATATCAGGCCTAGATGTTATAATGTGTTAAGAATAGCATGTATTTATACTTTGCTGTAGGAAATGAGGGCATATCGAAAGAATTTTAAGTAAGGTTAAAAATATATAAATTCATGTTTTAGCCTGTGGGCTTAATCTGGCCTACCACCTGTTCTTATAAATAAAATTTTATTACAACACAGCTAAGTCCATTCATGTGCATATTGTCTATGACTGCTTTTGCTCTACGGTGGCAGAGTTAAGTAGTTTCCTTAAAGATAATATGGCCTGGAATGTCTAAAATAACTATCTGATTCTTTATAGATAAACTTTGGCAACCTTTGTTTTAGAAGATTTCACTGATGGTAACTTAGATAATTAATTGGAGAGTTTTCAGTAAGATTAGAGACAAGGGAACTAGTTTAAATGCCTCCTGCAGAGACGATGTATGTCAGAACTAGTGTAGTAACAGGGACTCTCCAGAAAAGATCCATGTTAAGGTGTTAAGGACTTGGTTGAATGCAAAACTAAGGTAAAGGCAGAAATGTAGATTAAGTGGTTGAGCCACAATCTCACTTACAAAGTAGCTAAGGAGAAGTTGATGCGTTAATTCTGGTTTGCACATACTGAGTTTAACTTGGAAGAACAAAAGATGAAAATAGTGTCACTAAACACTTCAATTTCATCTTAAAAATATATTGCAATTAAATACATCACAAATTTGGCTATCAGTATTTCCTTATCTGGATACTACTGGTATTTGGTTAAGACAATTGTTTTAAATTCAATCCCTCATGTTGCTGCATAATGAATTACTGCCATCCCAATTAGTGGGCTAGCTAGCTCTTTTTTTTTTTTTTTTGCCTGATGTGTCACAGAACACTTAGGTATCTTTGAGCTGTTGAGACAATCACTCTAGCCCAACTTCAGCTATCTCCCCAGTGTGGTGATCTCACAAAGATATCGTTCTGGGTCTGCTCCTTCTTCCAGTTTCTAGCCCTGTTTCTTCCAATTCTGTGTGTGATCTCTCATCCAGATGCATACCTCCGTGTCAGCATATAAAAATGAGCCTATAATCTTTCTTTAGTTACACTCTCCTCTCAGGTTCCCTATTTTTCTGTTCTGTTGTTGGAGTGTCTTTGACAGATCCCACATCAAGGCAGTGCCACCTCCTGTTCAACTATCTGGTTAACCTCCTTTGTGTTTCCACCTTACGATGACACTGGTTCCAGCCTTCCTTACCTTTTGTTTGACCAATTGCAATAACTTCTAAAAGGCTTTCCCATTCTTATTCCCTCCTGCTCACTCCCTTCCCATACAGGTAACTGTCCCAAATAACATTTGACAAATCTTATGACAGTACTGCCCACACATCTCCAGGGGTCTCTGGTGCCCACTGAAGTCTCAATCCCTCAGCCTGATGTCCAGAAGCCTCCCTCATTGGAACTGTCAATGGCTTGACGTCTCAAGCTTTCCCTTTTCAACTCCAGAAGAATCCCTACACCCCAGTCATTCCTTGGACACAGCCTGCATCCTCCCATCTCTGTCACTTGGCTCATGCTACCCCCACCACCCAGTGAATAGCCAAGTCTTCTTTTTCACCCATTCTTAAGGGACAACTTGGACATGGAACCACCACTAAGTTGCTCACAGACTACTCTCAGTGGGATGTGAGGGAGATATTCTCCCTCTCTTACCTTATAGGGTCCTTCATCTGGGCTTTTCTTTTGACCTTGCATATACTCTAGGGATCATTTCTGTGCTCGTTTACTCTCTCCTATAAATGCCTTAAGGACAGGCAGGGTGCATTATTCAATCATAGTCTTCTACACAGCTCCTATCACAGTGACTGTTTCATAGCAGACCTTAAATATGTATTTTTGAAGCACTTTATTATACTATCTACTCAAGAGTCATAAGAAGTTACATAGGAGAAATGAAACAGACTCATACTATTCAAATCAAGGAATATATTAAATGAGTAAGACCAACCATTCTCTCCTAATCTGATCGGGAGCTTCTATACCAATTAATTTTTTTTAAAAAAGGAAGAACTCATCAGTTTCCATTGGAAAGCATGGAAAGGCCCAAGGTAATATGAATTTCCTCTGAAGCACTGCTGTTTCTCTTCAGGTTTTATTGATTTCATTGTGGAACCCACCTTCACTGTGCTCACAGATATGACTGAAAAGATTGTGAGTCCATTAATCGATGAAACCTCTCAAACTGGTGGAACAGGACAGAGGCGTTCAAGGTCAGTCAAGAAGTTGGAGGGCTAGGGTTGGGACTGGCCTGTCCATGAGGACAGAATTCTTCTTTCGGTGGGGATTAAGGGGTACTTCATAACGATGCTTGCCTTCTCTGCTTCTCATAAGACTCTGTCTGCTTCTTTCCTTTTCTCTGAGGAGTTAAATTTTACTAACTGTACCGTCCAGGCTTATCTGTAAGGGATGACCAGGGCCCAAATCATGACTAGCAGATACCCAGTACCATCCCACTCCACATTTTCTCCCAGCCTTTGCTTGTGGTAGCAATTGCTTTTACTTGCTATGCCCAGACAGTTCTTGCTGCTCGTACTCCAAAAAGACAGTACCACTAATCAGAGTTCTTACCAAAAAAATGAAACTGATTTTCATTTCATTTGTGAAGTAGGGAGAAAAAACCCTGAAAACTTGAATTCACTTTCTGCTAACATATCACAATATCAGCGGTGGGTTGGTAGGTAAAGAGTACAGGCTCTAGAGTCAGATTGCAAGGGTTAAAAATCCTGACCCCATCACTTATCAGCGATCTCAGCCAAGTTGCCTCACAATGAATTCCTCACGTTGTATTATACACATTGTTGGAAAGAGTAAATCAATTATTCTATCTACATGAAATCCTTAGAACAGGGCCTAGCACAGAGGAAGTGCTAGCTGCAATAAAGCTAACTGTTTGTCTTTATTAGTCATACTACTGCTACTACTACTACAGCTACTTCTAGTACTACAACTTTTACTACTACTACTACTGCTACTACTACTTCTACTACTAGTAGTTTTACTACTACTCTCCTTGTAAAACCTTGAGCGTTGTCCTAACAGAGAAAGAAGAGAAATGGAATGTAGAGGAAAAGAGAAACAAAGAGCAGGAAAAAGAATAAAGACAAGAGGAGCATTAGGACAGTGAGACCCTGGGGATGCTCCAGATGGATGGACCCTCTTGAGGTTGCTAAAAAGGAGGATGGAAGCCCCCTCCCCAAGTCCCCACAACTCCACAGCTCTTCAGGCACTGGTTGAAACATACTGTGTTGTCTAGACAGCCTTGTCATTTAGTGGATTTGCATCTTGTCAGTTACTGCTTTAACCACTTGGGAGCAGTAATTACTTCTTTATGGTTTTCTAGAAGGATGGTACTTTCTAGTATTTGCAATATTACTAATGTTTAAAGCATATAATATCTGTATAAATTAAGGTATTTTGCATGATCTAGTCTCCCACAGTCTCCATGCTGTCTGTGCCGCCCCATCTTATTCCAGCAATATAAGGAAATCGTTACTTCCTCTGGACTTGGGGATCCTGGGATCAGAGGGGCCCTGAGTGCAAGAGAAGGGTAGGAGTGGAAAGAAAGAGGACCAAGTTGCTGCATAATTTGCAAAAGTAGTCAATGTGGAAGGTGGATGAACTGTGGAATCAGAAGTTGAAGTTCAAATGGTCAGTTTCCGAGAATGGAACAGAGGAGATTCATGCAAAGGGATTCTGGTTATTGAAAAAAAGAAGAGACCAATCAGCAGAGAAGAAATATGAGGAATATTGAGAGTTTTGAGGCTGCGTGTTGATATTTTTTCTACTGAAAATACAGAATTGCCCACCAGTCACATAAAATAGGAAAATAGGATAATTTATAAGCCTCAGGACCCATGAATTTCACAGTCATAACTTGATGAGTGCCAACCACTCCTGTCCTGGGCTTACTTGTTGGCGGATATTTTCAAATACTAACTCTCCCCTTTGGTGTGTGTGTGTGTGTGTGTGTGTGTGTGTGTGTGTGTGTGTGTGTGTGTGTTTGTCTTCCAGTTTGAACAGCATCAACTCATCAGATGCAAAGCGATCAGGTGTCAAGAGCTCTGGGTCAGAGGGAAGTGCCCCACTCAACAATTCTGTCATCCCTCTTGACTATAAGAACTTTAAAGCCACTTGGACTGAGGTGGTGCACGTTAATCGGGAGAGATGGAGAGCCAAAGTGCCCAAAGGTAATGTATTATGAGGGAAAAATCTTCCAGGATTCCTGCTCAAACTAATTCAGCACCCACTTAAAAAAAAATTGCCTTCCCTGATTGATAGGTGTTGCAAATAAAGCACAGTTGCTCAGGATGCAAATTCAAAGTGCCGAATATTAGGATCTACCATCCTGTGGTCTTCATTATATCTATGTTCAATGCATGAAAAAATGTGGCAGATTTCTAAGCCTCCTGACATTATGTCCTTTGTGTTATAGGATTAAATTCCTTTTCCTAATATAAATATTTCCTGGTTTCTGCTAAACCATCTTGTCATTCACATTTTGTGTCAAGTGGCACAACTGTGAGGCCTTTGTTTCTTCTTTTACTTAAGTAAAGTTTAGCCAGTAACACCTGGTTTTGGCCATTATGTTGGACTATAAGGAACTCAGTTTTTCTTGCATGCATTTTTATCTTCCTTTCATATTCACTATTTCCCTTTACTTATTGTTCAGACTATACATCTTATCTTCTAAGATGATGGTAACTTTTGGGTAAAAACAGAACTTCCTTGAAGCAAACATTACTAAAACTCACACCAGAAAAGTTGTGGCTCTTGGTACTATCAATAGAAAAAGATGGAGATTCATGTGTTTCTTGAAAGCTTAAATTCATTTTTTCATACATGCATTTGTGTTTATTGAACATGTACTACATGATCAGCACATAATACATGATCATACTGAACTCTAGTTACAGAGGCACTATGTACACAGGTAGATAAACCTGAGATGAGGTGTCTGAAGCTGTGATGCCTGGTTCTAGGGAGGGACACAGACATAGGTCGCTTAGGAAGCTTGAGGAGGTGACTGATCCCAGTGGGCTTTGTGGAAGCGAGCCTTCAACAACAGTCAATTTTTTGCTAATATCTCTCTCATGCCTACTGTGCCAGGCTGTGCCCAGTGCCAAAGGTAGAGAGATAAGTAGCAGGCATCCTTGTCCTCAAAGCTCCCAGTCTTGTGGAGGGGAAGGAGAAGGGTCATTGCTGTATAGTTTCATTCAAATGAAGAATGGGAGGTCAGTCAAGGGCTTATACTTGTCACCATCATCTACCAGCCTGAGCTTCAGACCCACACAGTGGGCAAAAAAGACTTTCTCCCAAAACACAACATCCTACATTCTTATCATCAAGTGACAGCACACCAGGTGAAAAGAGGGGTGGGAATGGTGGGGAAGAACATGTTAGGGCAGTCTTGATTTCCACACATATTGGAGTGGAGGTGGTGTCATGCTTTCAGTGTAGGAGAAAAGCAGCCTCTCTGCTGGAGTTATTCAAAGGACAACCACTGTGACTTGTCTACAAAATCCTGTCCAAGTGTTTTCTCATTTCAGGTGAGGCAAAGAGTTTATATTTCTGGTGCTTTTAGGGCATAATTAGACCCTTATCATTTCAGGACAGATGTTGTACCCTGAGCTAGGGAGAAAGCTAGCGCCTCTTCCATATTTTAAGTGTACCTTTAAGTGCGTTAAACATTTGAATTCTCCCTTTTGGCAGGCACTGCAGGCTGCCATGGCAGCTACTGCATCATCTCAAAAGAAGCACTCTCTTATAATCAATTACATTCATTACACTTGAAAATCCAATTCCTGACAACACGCAATTTAAAGAGGTACTTCAAAATAATTTGTTTGCAATTATCTGGCTTACTAAAATTACCTTCTGAAACGAATCACCTAGGGAATCATTTGACAGATGCTTTTCCAGAGGAAAACTGGCCTTTAAAAAGGACAGATAAATAAACAGCTAATGAATTTAAAATGTATTTGATACAAGAATAGAAATACTGTATGCTTAAGGTATTTGGAAGTATGAAAGGAATTGTTCCTAACCTCTGTTTGGGGCATTTGGAAAGGCATCATGTAGGAGGACTTGGAGGACACCTGGGCTTGAGACCTGAAGGAGGTGTCATATTTAGAAACAGGAAAAAGGAGAAAGGGGATGGACAAAGGCACAGAAAATTTGGGTTATGGATATCTTTTTCTGGCGCAGTGCTTAAATATAATATATATAATATACATATGTATATACACACGCATACACACACACACACACACACACACACACACACACACACACACACACACACACGAGGGGGGACCCAAAAAACTGAATTATCTATTAAAAATTGTGTATTTATTCTTACATGCTTAAACTTCAGTCACCTTCAAGGTACTCTCTGAATGATGCAATATACCTATCAAGACTTTTTTTCTACTGCTCAAAACAGTTTTTGAGCTTGTCAAATTTGATGCCTTTTGGTGTTTCTGCTGTTTTTTGTTCAACTCTTCCACATCAGCAAAATGTTTGTTTCCCTTTGAGGACTTTTTTCATTTGGGGAAAAAAAAAAGTTGCTCGAGGAGTGTAAGGCATGGGGATCATGCCATTTTGGGTCAAAAACTGCTGAACACTCAGCACGGTATGGGCAGGTGCTCTCATAAATCACCCATCATGAAATGGGCAAATGCATTGAAAGACTGCCCCTCCCAAAAAAACATACTGAAGCCAAACGCAACCTCTCACAACAATGCTAGCTTGTGCACTGATGCTGATGGGTTACTAGAACACTTACCTTTGGGGGGAGACTGTTCTACAAGGGGCCTGTCCTTCAAACGATAATTTTGTGAGGGTTCCCCACTTGTATATATATGAAAATAGGAATTACTCATGACCTCTCCAGCCATATATAATGATAATTAAAATTCTGATGTAATTCTGTTTTATTTGCTTTACTATACCTATGTATAAGTAAAAATTTTCCCCATAAATTGAGAATATAATACAATTGCCTTGTATTCTGATTTTCTATTTCCATCTTGGGTGTTTTTATCCTGATACTGAATATTCTGATGTAAATGATATGTTGTATGGAACACAAAAGATGAACTATTCCTTTCTACTGAGTATTTAGGTTTCCAGTTCTTAATTATTGCATATAACTTTGTTATACAAGTTTAAAAGTCTCTGAGTTTGCTTCTGGTTCCTTATCTAGGACAGACTCCTAGCTATGAGATACCTCTGTCAAAGTACACAAAAACTTTTAAAGTTCTTGATATGTATTTTCGAATTTCTCTCAAAACACTTTTTAAACCAATTTTCTTCCTCAGTTGGAAGTAGAAGTATAGTGAGAGGGCATATTTTCCTAGACTATATCTTCCTCCATTTTTCCCCTTAGTATGTTTACATTCTTATTATTGATTCATAACAATTCTTTATAAATTGAGGATGATAATTCTTCACAGTTGTCAAAATATCTTACAATTTATTTCCCAGCCCAGTTTGTCATATGCCTTTAATTTTGCTGAAGGTCTTTGCTAATACAGCTTATTTTTATTTTACTAGAGATTGCCTGTAAGTTTTTCACTGAGTTATAAGTCTCTATAAATGTAAGTATGGAATAGTATACAGTGATACTCTCTTGCAAATGCTGAAAAATGTAGTGAATTTTGTACTCACTTCTTTATCATCATTCAGCTTTGATTAAACAATATAAGATCTGCAATCTAGATGATTATAAGTAAGTTGTTACATTTATGGTCTGCTTATCCTTGAGTTTTTAAAAAATATTTGCATCAAGTTTCATCCTAACTTTATCATTTTGATACTAAGCTTTGCTAGTTTCACTGTACATTATTAACAATATTTTCTTCATTTTTGAGTTTTTAAGAAAATTTTCTGTCAGCTAGAAAACTAATATTTGACTAAAGTTTCCAGGGAGTTCCTGTGGTGTTTCTGAGTCCTTAAATGTCTAGAAGGGGCCTCCTATTGTTCTTGTATATAATTGACATGTGACTATTCAAAATTCATGCAGTCTTTTGGTTTTATCAGTTGGTCAGTTTTTCTCTTTTCTCTCCCCCACCCCAGCCCTATTGTACATTATTTAAGTAGGCACTGCAGAAAATTATATCAAGGGATAACTAGCCTAGTACCATTTTAAAAGTCTATGGTGCCGTTATTCAGAATGAAATTAAATCAAAAAATCAATTCCCCAAGACTGCACAGACATTCAATGTCGAGTAAAACAGGTTCTCTATCAGGAAGAATATAATTCATGAATCGTGAGGGCTCTACTCCATCTGAACTCTTTATCTGCTTGCCATTGACATTTTCACAGTGAATCCCCTATCACAGGTAGTTTGGAATGGGAAGTCAAAGGAAACAGAACTAAACCACATTGTTTGCTTTCTACTAGAATAGAAGCCTAGGAGTGCCAAGGAGCACTAAATCTAAGACCTGAAAAGTTAATTCTCTGTATGCATGTCATCAGTTGTACCTGTTAGCATGTACAGATTAACTGTGTTCTCAACTACTTTTTCTCGCTATAGGAAAATTTAATCTATACTATTAATTTCACCCCGAAAATATAAGAGAATCTGATTGTTACTGAAAAGACATACCTCCTGTTGATGTATTTTCTTTTTTCTTATTTATATTATTGTTTGTTTCTGTCTATGCATTTTGAATAGTACTACTTTGGGTACTGTATGGTTCATCACATCGCTATTTCAGAGATGTGGGGCAGAAAGAGAGAAGTTGAGTAGAAAAGAGTATTGCAGAGTCACCCACCGAAACATGATGGCTGTAAAGAAAAAAATCCTACAGTAAGACAGGCTTATATCTGATTTGATCATGATGTCAGAAGGGTTAACATTCCTTTATTTTGACATTAATTGCCTGATAGCTATAGTTGAGCAGAACTAGATTTGGTTCTGCAATGTTTTTGTGGGTTGTTTTTTTTCTGGATTTCCCATGGAAAATTGGTCTGACTCCGTTGTCAAAAAAATTTTTCTTGCTCAGATAATATATTTTGCTCTTTTGTAGCAAAGAATTTAACTCCTTCAGTTTTTATCAAAGTTGTTTTCAACTTGAGGATATCTTGAATATTGAAAGTTTGCTATGGATTCAGCAGGGATTCTGTGAGGGAAGTATAAATTATTTACTGGAACTGATACCAGGTTGTGAGTATGAGCGAATC